AGGCTGATCTTACCGAACATGGCGCTATCAAGAATAACTTTCTCATTTTGATGAAAAGATAACATGACACTATTAACACATCGGAAAAATGAAAACTATTCATAGATGGCCGAAAAATCAATAGCTTAAAGCATTTAGTGTTTTCTTCAAATACTCGTTCCGAGCATTGATGGATTGATGAGAAAGCATGTTGGCCTGTTGGTGTTGATCTAATGCAGTACTATTAATCTACAACGATCACCGGCTTCCTCTCCTGCCAAACAGTCGAACACACATACCCATCACCACTGTCAGAAAATCTTTATACTAACTTCTTCCTCAATTTGAAAATGCTGTTGTGTTTAGTATGTTCATTAGTGACCTCTAGCATTAAGACAACGACCTTGTTTGCCTACCATTGAACTAGTCTGTTGCTACAGAAATCCATGGCTTTTATGGATTTAGGTAATTTTGGAAGAAAGAGGGGTTCGTATTTATTTGTTTGAATTTTAAATTGCAGACTGCAACAATGTTTTCTTACACTCACAGCCGGAACACTTGCATTAAGTTGATGGTTTTGTCTAAAAAGAATGGGGTAAGCCTACCTCAGTATTGGGTTTTGTGGATATCGTTAATCTGCAGGGAGAGGTAAAAACTAGGCTTCAGCCTTGGTTTACAAATTGTAAGTGGGTGAAAATGTGAAAAGACAAGACATGGAGGCTAATTGAAGCCTTGTATTAGAAATAAGATGTTTGGACAAGATAGGAGAGATAGTGATGGTGAGCTGAAACCATACAACACGTTCCACCTAGCCTTTTACTGTGATTGAGTTGGAAACGTGGACAGGTTTTGTCTGAAGTATACCCATACATTTTAAATTGAATTCCTTTACCTTTGCCCTTGGGTCCGGTGGTTGAAAAGCATCTCTGGTCAACGATGCCGCCACCTCTGTTAAAACAGGTTCCTAGGGTGAGGGAGCTCAATATTTCATTCTCATCATTCCATAGCATTTTAAAGAAATAATATGATTAAATTAAGATTTGAATTTCTGATGTAGTTTCTAAAAATTGGCAATTTTTTGGCAAATTTCAATTGATAAGTTTCTGGACTGAAAATTTCAATATACAAAGTAACACAAGTTTTTTAAAGTTATATCATGCAACAGGGCTAAGTTCTGTAACAATGACATTGTCAGATTGTACAGGTTTTATATGTGGAAACCTGTCTGTGGTTCAGATTGTCTGATTGTACAGGTTTTGTCTGTGGTATCCTGTCTGTGGTACAGATTGTCTGATTGTACAGGTTTTGTCTGTGGTATCCTATCTACGGTACAGGTTGTCATATTGTACAGGTTTTGTCTGGTATCCTGTGTTACAGGGCTATAACACTCACGAAGCAGCTGCTGTATGTGGGCAGGTTGTCTAATTGTACAGGTTTGGTCTAATACAGGTTGTCTAATTGTACAGGTTTTGTCTGATACAGGTTGTCTGATTGTACAGGTTTTGTCTGGCATCCTGTATTACAGGGCTGTAAAACTCGGGGAGCAGCTGCTATCTGTGGACAGGGTATCAGACTGTACAGGTTTTGTCTGGTACAGGGTGTCCGATTGTACAGGTTTTGTCTGTGGACAGGGTATCAGACTGTACAGGTTTTGTCTGGTACAGGGTGTCAGATTGTACAGGTTTCGTCTGTGGTACAGGGTGTCAGCCTGTACAGGTTTTGTCTGGCATTCTGTATTACAGGGCTATAAAACTCTGGGAGCAGCTGCTATCTGTGGACAGGGTGTCCAGTGTAGGAAGCAGGTGGTCCCCCTCACACTGAATGCCTTCATCTCCCCTGATAACACACTATCAAACACAAAACATTATCTACATGTGTTTTATTTGAACCACAGAACTAAGCTGGGAAAATTCATTTGTTTACTGGTCAGATATCATTATAGAAATGTTAGAACATGACAAATCTATTTCCAGGTGTAACATGATGTTCGGGTGTCGTAGAATTAGGATTTCCTTATGTTTGATGGTTTGAGTGGGAGTTGTGTCTTCTAACGTCACGTGATCCTCCCGTGATCCTCCGGTAGAATCTATTAATTGGTCTTGGACTCCTGTTCTGTCCTATTGTAGCAGAGACAGTGTATGCATATACAGACATGTATTGAGAAACCGGAGGTGAAGGACACGGCCTAAATGCTCATTAACAAAGTTACATCGTAAATTATACATAATTAGTGTCTAGGTCACGGAGGCAGAACACATGAAATATTAATATACCACTGGCCATGGAATAACATAATTAAACTGTCAAAAATATCTGTCCCTGCCAACCAATAAAAGATGTTCCGTGGTTTGTCTCCCTAATTATGCTTGTATATTAAAACTATCTGCAGCAGTATGACTCTGGATTGATTGTATACGGCTTCATCTGAAGTGTTGAAGTTCCAGATCTATGGATCCGTGACAACGCACACAGAATAACTCTACTAGAGATACTATGGGTCATTCTGTGGCAGAAACTGGGTACCGGGTATGTGTGGGTATGTGTGCATGCGCCTCGCGAGGGTGGTGGTATAAGGTAACCCACAACCCATGTCCATTTTGCGAGTGGGTCGGCAGGGTCGGGGAATGTCACAGGAGTTGTCACCTGTCTACCTTTTACTAGCAGACACATCGATCACTGAACCATCAGTCAATAGTCTGCACTGACACTTATTTTAAATTCAAACAATATGTAAAATATACATCGCCCAGAATAGCGAGAGCATTATGTTTTGTCTGGGTTTTGGTCACGCTCCAGTCTTGGGACAGGAGGGGCGTGACAGGGAACTAAAGCACTAATGAGGTCCCATCAACTTCACCTCAATAATGCACTGTACAGGTATAGCAAGTGTCGGCCTTGCCGTTAATGGTCCAAATCCTACCATATGGTATATTATTGTGTAAATAAAATTATTTGTTGCGAAACTGTGTGGAGAGATATCACCTGTCAGGTATACTTATACTGCAGGTGTAAAGCAATCCTTAGTTTAGACAGGTTAAGTGGTTACCTGTATGCGGGACGGTCCCCACTGCGACCCCCTCCCCCATTGTCTGGTCAACACTCAGACACACATTTACTACCACTATAATAATCTATACAGGTAAAAAAACGCCAGACCCATATTGATTCAGGACATAAATGCATATTGTCTAAAATATTTAAAAAGCATGTGGGCTGTCATGGAGTGACATAACACTATACCCAGGGCCAGTATTTGCCCAGTCCTGCCACAGTACAAACAAGTAGTATTGAATTTCTACAACCCTGCACCATACAAGGTCAGGCTGGATATGCCAGCTTGATCTCAGCCTTACTGTTGGTATCCCTGGCCCGTAGTTACTGTTGGTTTCCGTGGCCTGTCCCTGGCCCGTAGTTACTGTAAAGTCCTGTCCCACACTCAATGTAATGACTAGTGTTGTCCCTATTTTTCCTGTCCCCCAGACTCATCAACAACACCCAGGCCCATAAAACCTATATATATACCGTTGTGTCAACCGACTCATTTTCCACTCATTGTCTGACATTTCGATGTGGTATATAAAAAAAGTTCAAATATGGAGAGAAGTTGGTCAGCCTGGCTACTGACATAATAGAGGTAATTATTGACGTGGGTAGTTTACATACAAGTTGTCTAACAATGCTAGCTATCCAATGAAAGGGCCTGGCTACACATGGTTACCATATTAGGTCCTGGAGGGATTTATGGTGAGGTGACCCTGTGGTCCCGTCTTTATGCTGGGCCAGATGAGATTTCAAGGACAGGAACAGGTGCACCCTGCTGTACACTGCACCGTCCTACCCATACAAATAAAACGTTCCCCTCGTGTTTTACTACTCGAGATCTTCCATTTAATAATGATCCCAGTCTGATTCTAGAATGAGGTTGGAAGTGTTGACTTTTCTTTTGGCCCGTCTTAGAAACTTACAAAACATGTTTTAATACAACAAATCGAGTACATGGAGTGTCTGTTGTAAAAGTGAAGACCTTGTTTATGTGTGTGTGTGTGTGTATAAATATATATGGGGCAAAGAAATATATAGGTATACACAATAGGATAAATTGACAAAAGAAGACGGGGTGTTTTACGCTAACCTTTTCACAGGATAAGCTCTTAAGGTGTGGTAGAGTAAAGGTACAGTATTGTGGGATGTCGGAGATTGTCCATCTATTGGGAATTGTAAAATAATAAAGCCACATAATTATTTAGAAGTTCGTGTAATATATGAAACATTTTAAATTTTAAAACCTGATCTGAACACAAATAAAAAAAAATCAAATTTGGTTTTAAATTTAACTATAGTTCCATGTTTTTAACCTCTTTTTAAAGTCGATTATTTTCTGTGGTAAAGCAATGTAAAGGGAAGTTTTAGGAATTGACAGTAAAATATTTAGGCAAAATATTATCTGTCCTTTTGCAAACTATGCCATTATTTTTGTAGTTTTTCTCTGCTTGATGTCAATTCCAACATTTTGTCAATGTAGTGTATATTGAGGTCAATATTGACCTATTCTCCTGTATTAAACTGTAGGTCCAGGGCGTTCAGAACTCATAGGATACACCCTTAACTTACCCATGCCCTGATATGGAATGGTCCACTGGTTTTACACTGATCATGTATGTAAGAATTAATCTTCCTCTGGGAGCTCCAATAATTGCAATTACGAGTATGAAATCATCTCCGGCCAGCAAAAATCAATGATGCTGATGTGCACAAACCTGTCTTTGGTGCAAACCTCATCAAATTATTGGAATGTTTTCCTCGGTGTCTCAAGGTTGTCAGTGTTGTGATTGGACTGATGATTCTGGATACAAGGTAAGTAAATAACGGCTTAGGGCTATGAGGAAAGGTCACTCTTGGACAATTTCATGTAAGAGAGAGAGAGAGATAGTATGAACAGAGGAATGGATTGGTTTATTGTTTATGATGGAGAGATTGTTACTTCAATATCTAACAGTTTGTTGACCTTTGTGTACTTTCAGAACCCTCCAAGTTTGTGTGCGATTCGTGCAGGTCGACCTTTGGCTCGGCCTGGTCACTTCTACAACATGCTCAGAAGGAACACGGCATGCGCATCTACACGACTTCTCTGGACAAGCAGCAGAAATACCCCGAGCAACCGCATAAAAAAGAACGTGACGAACGAAATCAGCGTGACCATATACAGCATGATCACAGCCGGGAGCATCGCGATCACCGTGAGCACCGACATCATGACAAGCATAATTCGAGTCCTAGTAACCACAGGAGTCAGCAGACATCCCATCTTCCCCAGCAACAGCAAGCACCTCAGCATCAACCAAAACAACGAGACGAGCAACGTGACACCCCTCTCTTGTGTCAGTCCCACGACCCACATCGAACACCTCCCTCAGCTAGCTCCGTAGGAAGCGCGGACAGTGGCAGCCATCTGCTTCAAGATGGCGGCCATCATCTACTGCCACCTCATCCGTCGCCACATTCTTCTCCCTTTTTGTTCAAATTTCCATTTGATCGACCACCACCATTGTCACCAGGGTTGCCGTTCTGTCGGCCCCCTAATCTCGGGTTGGATTTCCCCATCGATCCCTCTTTACAGAGGTCATTTGTAGGCTTCCCACCTATGTTTGATGGTGGTCCATCACCACCATTTCCGAATCTGTTTGAACGGCCAAGGCAATCACCTGTAGGAATTGATAATCAACTAGAATCATATTACTCACAACGGCTTAGGCAGCTAGCATCATCAACTTCAGGATCGCCATCGCCAGTAAGGAAGCAGACACCTCCTTTTTCCCAGCCAGGTCCGTCACCGACCACCTTTCCCCCCGTGACTCCTCCGAGCTCCCTATCCTCTGATATGGAGAAGCCACAGCACGGATCTGGCAGTATCACCCCTCCAGCGAAGCTCAAGTCCTGTGAATTCTGTGGTAAATCATTTCGCTTTCAGAGCAATTTGATTGTTCACAGAAGGTCTCATACTGGCGAAAAGCCGTTCAAATGCCCTCTTTGTCCACATGCCTGTACACAACAGAGCAAGCTCAAACGACACATGAAAACGCATATGAACAAATCTCCATTGTCAATGTCGAATGCATCAAACATGTCCAATGATGGAAGTTTAGCCTCAGGCAGCAGCACCCCAGATTCAAGTAAGCGTTTTATGGATGATGAAGATGATGAGGAAGAGGAGGAGGAAGAAGAGAATGAAGAAGAGATGGAAGAGGAAGAAGAAATAGGTCTTGGAATGGAGGAGGAAGCCTATAAAAATGGCTTCAAGGACAACTTCAAAGATGGCTTCAAGGATGGATTCAATCCGCCAAAAAAGTTAGAGATCAATTCCTCTCCCAAGTCCAGTGAGCTAGCAGCAAGGTTATTAGAACCAGCATGCAGTCCAGGCCACCAGGAGCATCCGAAGGAACCAGAGCGTGCTAGTCCTTACACAGACAAAACCAGTCTCCTGTCAGAGGTCATGAAGAATACAGGTTTGACAAATTTCCCAGCATACAACGAAGCTTTCAAGCAAGCCATGGCAGAGCGGGTTACTTCTCCTGTTGGGGGACAAGAGGAACAGACATCGGAGAACTGCAGCAACAACAGCAGCAATAGCAGCCAAGATGACATGAAGGAGGACAGTCTCAAAAAGTCGTCTTCTGATTCAGATTCTGAGGCGCCATGCTGCAAGAGGATCAAGAACGAGCCTATAGACCCCAGCTCTTTCCCTACAAATAACATGGAGAACCATCATATCTACTCCCTGTGGGGCTCCATGGGGTTCCCAGCCCCACCCCCTCAAGATTTCTATCATCTTTCTCTTCCAGGGATGCAGTTTGACTGTGCAGGTCCAAACCATAATGGCTACAGTCCTTCAACCCCGGAGAGTGCCATGAAATCTTTCAATGCACAGACCCCACCGAAAGCAGGGCCCAGTACTCCCGTTTCAGGGGATGCTGCTCATATGAGGAAGGATCGGACCAGAAATGATACCTGTGAGTTTTGTGGCAAGATCTTCAAGAACTGCAGCAATCTCACGGTTCATCGCAGGTCTCACACCGGTGAGAAGCCATATAAATGTATTCTCTGTAACTATGCTTGTGCTCAATCTAGCAAGCTAACAAGGCATATGAAAACACACGGGCGTATAGGGAAGGATGTCTACAAATGTAAGTTCTGCTTGATGCCGTTTTCTGTTCCTAGTACACTGGAGAAACACATGAGGAAATGTGTGGAGAACAGAACACCCGGGCTCATACGGGAAACCGACTCGGATTCTACATCAAGTAACGCTACCACTCCGACCCTGAACTGTCAACCGGGCATTCTACAGGAGTCCAGTATGGACAGAAGCAGTGCTAATGTTCCCCTGAACTGTGCTCCTGGAATTCTACAGGACACCAGTCTAGACAAAAATAGCTCTAGCACACCCAATCTTTGACTGAAAATCTATTGCTCAATGGCAAATTCTGTCAGTGACTTTTTTTAAATATGTCATTATATGGACTGACTTTTTAAGATTCTGTTGTATGGCATATTGTATATTGTAACTATAGAATCAATTTGTGGGTCTTTGAATGATTTGTTGAAACATAAGCACGGTGTAACTCGTGCACCTTGAGGTTTTTTCCCCTGTTTTTTAATGGCACAAATACTCACTAGTAGCGAGATTTGCTTAGTTTTATTCATCCTATTGTTCTTGTTCATTGATAAGTGTGAAGGCGCTTACGTTGGACGTACGCTACTTTTAATGACAGTGTTTTTACACTACCGGTGGATCTGTTTATGAATATGTATTTTGAATATTGACTTTTAATCATTTCTCAAAGCACATGTAAATGGTCAAACCGTTTATCATGTTTTCATCCTTGTTAGCCAATGCTGACCATTATCAGTGTGTTATATACACACCACCTGTAAACTTATTTTGCACATAGTTGATTTTAGATTGTCATTTGAAACCTGTTGGACACTCAGTTTTTGAAGAAGAAGAAAAATCTTTTTTTTTTCTTTTTGTTGTTAAATGTGGAGTGTAAATACCGCACACTTTTGCCGGCAAAATTTCTTTGTTTATGATACAGTACCTGTTTTGGACAATATCAATTTGATATACACATTTGTTTACAATTGAATAATAATTTTTTTAAAGCTGGATTTTTTTAAAGTAAATTTTGATTTTATGATCTGCACTAAAATCAGAAGTTTTATATCCGATGGTTATTTATTTGCCTAAGCTCCATTAGCTTACATGTGTGCTAGGCCAGAACAGGAATAGCTGGTGGCTTTTTTTATGAAATCTGGCCCTGAGGTTTTTTATATAACTTTCCCGAAGCTTAACCTTAAATTTTTTCAACAAAATTCATATTTGCCATCAAATACATTTTGAATGTATGCTCCTTATTACAAAGATTTCCTTTCTAGACAACGGTCTAAAATACAAAATAAAGCCGTGGGATATTGTTCAGTGAGTCTCCCAAAGAACTGGTAGTGTTCAGGGTTTATAGACTTTTTCTTGAATGTCATACACAAGAGAATAAAGAAAACAGCCAGTAGACTTTCGTAAATGATTTTTTTTAGATCTGATGTATGAACTCAGTTCTAGTTTTTGTTGAGGACTCGGGGCCAGAGATGTTTGTACAATACTTTGGTAATTACAAGTTAACTGTAGTTAGTATTGAATTGTTAACCTTTTCCTAGATTCTGTATCCACAGGGTGTTTCGTTACCGCATCAGGGATGGACATTTGTTACATTTTTCTTAAAGAATTGATTGTTGTTATCTAACTATAGATAATATGATGCAAAGAGTTTAATATCAGGTATTTATTAGTTTTTCCCAACAAATCATCTTTCTTGTACAAAATGATTATTGTTATCACATTTACAAGTACGACTCTTTAAATTTTTATCATTATCATTATATTATTGACGCTTTCCGTATCATTTTGTTTTAGAATATGCTACTACCTTCAAATCTGCTTTTAATTCAATATTGCAATGAATGTTTTTTCAGTGTTGCCATAATTAGTTCCGTTCAGAATTTAACGCATTCATCTCTACGCAGTAATGTTTTATTTCGTTTCTACCTGTGTTTCTGCCATTTTTGAAAATGGCAAAAAATATACTTCATCCAGGTAATCAAATTCTTTTAAATATGTAATTGTGAAGAATATGATGTTATGTAGTTTGGTGCATGTTGATTGTAAGTGCATGAGTACTGTCTAATATCATTGCAATGTTTCATACATTGGTGTAAATTTTTATTATCAATTTTTCCCTCTGAGTAGATAATAGGATATATAATACAGTGAGTGGTGAGCGCCCTGAACGGCGGCGACTGTCCCACGAAGTTTTCATTCTATTTCATTACAGGTGCTTGTCTATTCTCATGCATGTGTCTCCGTATCTATATCTGTAAATGGTTTATTTTTCTTGTATAGAAGCACAACGGACATGGCTTTAAAAGCATATATTTTGAGATTACGAAGTTTGTTAGCTTCATAGAAGCAAATTTAAATGGCAATGAAAATTGAGTTTCCAAGATTTCAGTTTGACAATTGTGAATAATTTGTGAAGAATTTCAAAGAAATTAATTATTAATTCTTTATTTCAAATTTCAGTTGGAAGTCAAATTGACTATAAATTTGGAAGCTTGACATTAATACAATACACACAGAAAGTCAGTGTCATAATACTATCGTTTTTGTTTAGTCCAGGAACTATATGTTCTGGCCTTTGTCCTTGTATGTATTAAGGGTTGTTTATTTGTGTATCTGTGTGCTACTGTTGTGTCGACAGTATGGAAGGGTCTGTTTCTTGAACCTTATTAAGATAGTAGTACTAGTAGGTGTAGTTTACATAAAATGTATAGGGAGATGTCTGGTAGTGGTGCCATATTGTTACAATAGTGAATAATGCTATCCTTTATGCCAAGGGCTTTCAAAAATCCGGAGGCAGAACTACATCAGCTCAATTGTGATTTCACATGTTGGAGATAGAAATACAACTGTTAAGGAGTTATTATAATTCTAGCTTTTTCTCCCTTCAAGAGAGAAGAGGCATATTACTACCATGTTTTTGAGTTCATTTTTTTTGTAAAATAATTAGAAATGGAAGTGTTTAAAACTATATTAAAGAATAATATGCACGAAGACTTTTGAAGCATGCTCAGAGGGTCTATTCGTTATGATGAAGATGTGTTAAAATTACACCAGAGGCAGCAACAGCAGCAGCAAGCAGCAAGATGCAGCGTCCTAGGGAAAAAGTGCGCATTCTGCAGGCGCTTCTTTTCTATCAGTGCCTATTCAAGATTTTTGCCAAGCAGAATTCTTATTTATTGATAAACCCTCCATTTGTACAACTAATAAACACAAGTTTTAAAAGATTTGGCATCAAGTTTCCTGTTAGAATGCAGAGATTATGATGGACAGCTACCGCGGAAAGTGTCTGACAAGCGTGCTACACTTGGAGAGTACTATATAATGGTAGGACTCCAAGGACAGCTGATGCTGGAGACTGACTCCTCAGTACTACGGATCTACAAACTGGACGTCGTCGTGGTCGCTTGACCACTGGTCAAGCGGTATGGTGGTTGTTCCACAGTGAATGTTTTAGCATGTATCATCAAGTACGAATCGTGGGATAGGGAGAAGATCCTTTGCAACTTTGTAACACTGTTTCCCGGCAGTCTAAATCCATGGGCATCAAGATATGTTAAGGAGTAGTGTGCAATAAAATGTATATATTGTGCACTAGAATTATTGGCAAAGCTCTAAGCTGGGACGCTAAAAGCCTGCTTCAAGTTCACTTAAAGTTTAATCCACTTAGATGAAATTCGTGTTTAGACAGTGGAATGTACAAGGCAGGAATTATTAGCAAGAATTTTAACTTTTTTTTCTTCTTCGTCTTCTTCTTTGTAACATAATTAATTATTATATTGGTGATTTCTATGCTCTTTACCCATACCCTCGAGTGTAAGTATAGCGTTAGTCTACTACCGCCAAGCCTCTTTGTGGTTCGTGATTTAGGTGCCCAATGTATGTCTATTGTTATAAATGGAAGTTGCACATTTTTTCTGCAAACAATTTTTTTTATTTTGTAACATAGGGGACACTTGTAGATAAAACTTAGGATGGTTTTCATATAATTATTGTTATCAATCACACGAAGAGAGAACTGGGGATTTAGAGGCACTTCTCTTAACACATTGTAAAGAAGTGGATCAGCCAACTCCTACTTTCCTCCTCATTTTTCAGTGTTAGGGGGGCCAACTCTATAATTAGGTAGATAGACTGGCACCAACAGAGAAATGATGGGGAAAGCTCACGGTGGATTCTGGATTTCACTTTCCAATAAGTTCATTCCATCTCATGTCACATCTCAGCTTTCCCTTAATACATCAGGCGAGAACTGCTTTTGTGAAATTCATTTTAACAGTAAGAACTTATTTTGTTTATCTTTAACGGTCATATAGGACATATTTGAAAATATTTTATAATTATGTTTTAGTTATTTTGTGTAACAGATGCTGTAATGAAGTTGCTGTCATTGATCTTGACTTGTTGAAGTTAAATCAAGGAGGTCATTGGCGACATTTTGTTACTCAAGTCTGCACTTCCATAGGAGGTGTCAATGTTGAGGAGGGTCACTGTTTCGGTTGATAGCCAGAAGATCCCTCAAACCTTATCATCAAAATGTTATGTGAAAGTTGCCAAGTAATTCATTGAGTGTGAAAGGGATACCCCATTGACAATCTTCAGATCGTATCAATCTTGTTATCTGTTACATTTTTTTAAAAAAAATCAGCATATGGCAACCTTTATACTTAGCTTTTAAATATTTCATGGGTGGATGGTGGAGGATTTTCACCAGTATTGTAAATGATAACTATAAAGTGGTTTAAACAGCAGCGGGACAAACCCAATATCATTTCTTTTTAAAATAATACTTATTTTTTTAAAAGAAAGTAGATGGAATTCACAAAAGCAGATTTTCAGTATTTTAATATGAAAATCCATGTAAATGTTTGGGATGAACTAGTTTCCCCTTGTATGTGTGGTCCTAGGGTGTAAATTAGATGGTTTGTGTATGATATTACTGTTCTAGATATCTACGTTTGGGTTATGTTTAACTGGTCTTTCAGCCGCCTGTGTATCTTGGCAAGCTTCGCCACTGAGTGCCATATTGGAGTCAGAATTACACTGGAGTTCACAAAACTACAATTTTATGAAGATTTTTTTTTATATTAACAAAATCTTGTTGAAATGGAGACGTAATACTACTGTTTGTACACCAGACTTTTTTTATAATTATAAATTTGGTGCATCATATTATTATAAAAGTAATTATTGGGTGGAACAATATCTAATACATTTTAATTATCATGAAAAGTGCTAGCTTGTTTTAATACTGGCCAGGGTCGAGTCCTCATTTATTATGATTATGTTGTTATTTTCATTCCTCTGTTCATTTTGTCATTTTTTGAACGTATATGATGACTGGTTTCAGTTATGCTATACCTTAAACAATTTGTGAAGACGGCAGTGTGTGTCTTGAGATTATCTACTGATAGCAGCCATTCAGATAAGTCATGTTCTCATAAATCCATAGGCCCTGCGCGCGTTTAATCCGGAAATTTCTGTTGAATTAAACAGATAAATTATAAGGATAAAAGCGAGGATATATGTATTCTACTCTACTATAAACCATCAGAACTAAGGGTGTCTGTCACTGGACACAGACGGGAACTTTGCCATCCCCACATTTGTGCCATATGTTTACGTTTTAAACAAGCAATATTATTTACGTGTCCTGTGCCATGTATAAATGTGCCATATATGACATTCATGTCATTGTCACATCGCCATATAGTTATAGTATTGATTTTAAGATAATGTTTGTTTTTTTCATGTATGTTCGACCCTTTTTAAGGATGAGAAAATATAATATACACGATTAGGTCTGGCTGAAGGCCCGACCACTAATAATGCACCCACCCGTTTGAGCTGATTCTATGTATTGCTGTGCAAGAGTTCACGCATAGCTGTTGCTAACTGTAAACAATGACCCTTAAAGACACACTCTGTCGTCATCGTTAACTGTAAACAATGACCTGTAAAGACACACTCTGTCGTCGTCGTTAACACAGTTCTATAGTAGCGTTTAACCCGGTGAAAAGTGCTATTTTTTCATGATATTTTGTCTTCAAAGTGCTAGTTTAGGTATCATTAAAAACAAAACAAATCCATCATTTTAGTTGAAATCTGTCTGTTTTAAGTGACCCTGGTCAGTACACAGTGCCATAGTGACGTGGTGGAGGGTTACCTCTCGCCCTCACAAATCACGGAAGACAAGTTTTATTATTTATTTTATCTCATGTTTTTTGGAAAACGTGTTCGATTTTTGATTTTTTTTTTTGTCTCATTTAGTAGCGACAAATTTCATCGCTGTGATTTTACTACTAGATTTTACATTAAATAAAATAACAGTGGAAATAATGTTTATGAAACTGCCGTGGTTAGAGGTTTCGAATCGAACAATATATCGGTTTTGATTTATATATGCTACCTAGTTATAGAAGAAAAATCGTTTTCCCTTTCTCTTTATGATTTTGTCCTGCATTATTGAGAAATCAACTGTACGCATTTTTATTTCCTCTGTTCCTTTGAGAATTGTCTGTGCCTTTTGTGTCCTGGGTTCCTTATTCTGTCCCCGTTACTATGGAGATAATGTACAGGTTCCGTTATTCTGTCCCCGTTACTATGGAGATAATGTACATTTAATGTACCTGAAATTTAGTTGAAATAACGCTTGGTGTATTTATGACGTGGATGTCTGTATGACAGTACAAAGTACATGTAAAGTTTAATAAACATTTCTTTAAAGTTTCTCCTGTTCTTGTTCATTGTTTCATTCACATGTCTCTCCAGAGGCAATACCACGTATTTATAGTCGAGGAGAATTATATTTTACCTCTGATGATTGAAATACTGAACTGGATATACCCGACACCTGACATTCGGACTCGTGATTAAAGACTTAGCCTACCTTCTACTGAAACACATACACACACATTTCGTGTTTTGACCTTTAATTTAAATATACAATTTTGGATCTATACTATCGAAATGATCAACGATAGTTTCTACATATGAAATGTTTTCGTTTTTCTCGGTGTTGAATTCTGATTGATGACAATAGCAATAATCGTGGACATTTTGTAACTATAAAGCTAGAACATGAAAATGTGTTAGCTGATTATATTTCTGTTTATTGAAAAAATATTTATACTTTAAACATATCGCGGTTGGGCGAAAGAACTGTACGTATTGGTAATAACACGCGAACACGCCCTGTAACGAAATATCGGCATGATACGGTAATGTAGTCGGTGCACTTCTGCAGAAAGTTGACTGATCAAGGAGCGTCGGGCTGTATACTTGCTTGGAAGTACTAGAGAAATACTTTGACATGTATTGTTGTCCTGAATCTGAAGTCGACGGTTTGACTTGTGATGATATTAACAATAAATTAATCTTCTGTACCTACCGTACCAATAGACTGACGTGATGTTAACGATCTTATTAAAATGAACTAAACAAAAATACGAAAACAATATCGCTATGATACTGACCTCGAGGTCTGGTATGAGTATCCAAACGGGCGTGCAACATTGGAGCTTCAGGCGAAATAAGGTCATCGAGATATCAACGAAAGGAATAAATGTTGCGTATACCCGCTTCCCTGGCGTGTATTTATATGTCGCAGTGGTTCGCTACCCTCCGTATGTGGGGGTTCTATATAACTGCGTCATGTTACACATGACCTTGTCGGGAATTCCAAAAAAGGTATTTCAGCCTACTGTGAAGAAATGTCACTGTCGTGATAAAAAAAAAAATCATTTTCTGACTTTATTTGATATTTATACTACATGTAACTTATACAGATGGTGATGGACAGTAATGCGTGGATTTAACAGAAATCATGACGGGTGCCACACACGGCGGAGGAAATGCCTACAGCAATGTCACCACCGGTGGTTTGTCAATACACAAAGACAAAATAATTTACCAGAACGTTAAATTATGAATTAGAATCAACATTCAAGCAGAAAGACCAACAGGGAACCATGGTAGGAGACGCCAGAATAAAAAGAAAGAAAAGCGTTTGCGAAACAAGATTTTTCGAGATAACGTGGGGAAAAAATAGTCAATAAAAGGTTACGTTAATGTCAACAGAACCGTAACTAGATGACAATATGGCGAAAAAGAACAAAACACGAACACCCTTGAAAAAGTGCAATGCTAACAAGACCAGGTGTTCCGGAAGGTTAAGCACCGTCTTTTACTTCATCGACGACATACGCTAGTAAACTTAGGTCAAATCCAAGACATTTCATGTCAATAAAAGAGCGAGAACTGATGTAGTGATAAGAAACTATATGACACAAAAATGAAAATGATCAAAAACATTGACCTTCATTTCACACAAGGAATTTGCCTATTTTTCAGTGAGATTTTGATGGCGACTATTGATTTTGATTATAGTCTTCAACTTGTATCTCTAGAAATCCTGTGTTGAAAGTTTGTCCGTCAGCCACGGAAATCATAACAATTAGAACAAGATCTTGAATGCGGAATAAACTGTGATACATCAATATCGGTGTGATCAAGTATTTGTTTAAAATTTAGTAAATCAACACAGAAAGCCATACAAAGTAAAGTATCTACCGGAACATCAAAATCCAAAAAACTGAAATATCATATCTGATGTTCCCGCAACGTATATACAAATACAGGAAAGGGGAAGGCACCTATACACTCTATAACGTTACAAATGTAAAACTTATTACTACAGCAGATAATATAATTTAAAACTGGTATTTCACGTAAGTCGTAACAGAATAATCCCAGCTACACGGTTGCGGCCAACCTCGGAATATTTTAGTCCACCAACAGAGTTACAACCCTTGTGACGTCAAATAATCGAAAAAAATCAGAAGTAAGAAAGCACACGTTTGAATGTTTACTTGGTCGATAAAAAGCCAAACAAAATAAGTATCTAATGAATATTGCGAACAGTTTATCTGGTCAGAACTCATCAGTCGAACTTGGGTCAAAAGTGTAAAAACACCAAGTGTAGCATCCTGGTGTGATGATGACGGCAAACACAGTACGGCGAAAACCTGGTGTGATGATGACGGCAAACACCGTACGGCGATAACCTGGTGTGATAATGACGGCAAACACAGTACGGCGAAAACCTGGTGTGATGATGACGGCAAACACAGTACGGCGAAAAACTGGTGTGATGATGACGGCAAACCCAGTACGGCGAAAACCTGGTGTGATCATGACGGCAAACACAGTACGGCGATAAGCTGGTGTGATGATGACGGCAAACACAGTACGGCGATAAGCTGGTGTGATGATGACGGCAAACACAGTACGGCGAAAACCTGGTGTTGAAATGACAGCAAACAAAGAACGGCGAAAACCTGGTGTGATGATGACGGCAAACACAGTACGGCGAAAACCTGGTGTGATAATGACGGCAAACACAGTACGGCGAAAAACTGGTGTGATGATGACGGCAAACACAGTACGGCGAAAAACTGGTATGATGATGACGGCAAACAAAGAACGGCGAAAACCTGGTGTGATGATGACGGCGAAAACCTGGTGTGATGATGACGGCAAATACAGTACGGCGAAAACCTGGTGTGGTATTGACGGCAAATAAAGTACGGCGAAAACCTGGTGTGATGATGACGGCAAATACAGTACGGCGAAAACCTGGTGTGATAATGACGGCAAATAAAGTTCGGCAAAAACCTGGTGTGATGATGACGGCAAATACAGTATGGCGAAAACCTGGTGTGATAATGACGGCAAATACAGTAAGGCGAAAACCTGGTGTGATGATGACGGCAAACAAAGTACGGCGAAAACCTGGTGTGATGATGACGGCAAACACAGTACGGCGAAAAACTGGTATGATGATGACGGCAAATACAGTACGGCGAAAACCTGGTGGGATAATGACGGCAAACACAGTACGGCGAAAACCTGGCGTGATGATGACGGCAAACACAGTACGGCGAAATCCTGGTGTGATAATGACGGCAAATACAGTACGATGATGACGGCAAACACAGTACGGCGAAAAACTGGTATGATGATGACGGCAAATACAGTACGGCGAAAACCTGGTAAACCTGGTGTGATAATGACGGCAAATACAGTAAGGCGAAAACCTGGTGTGATAATGACGGCAAACACAGTACGGCGAAAACCTGTTGTGATAATGACGGCAAATACAGTACGGCGAAAACCTGGTGTTGTAATGACAGCAAACAAAAAACGGCGAAAACCTGGTGTGATGATGACGGCAAACACAGTACGGCGAAAAACTGGTGTGATAATGACGGCAAATAAAGTTCGGCGAAAACTGGTGTGATGATGATGGCAAATACAGTACGGCGAAAACCTGGGGTGGTAATCACGGAAAATAAAGAACGGCGAAAACCTGGTGTGATATTGACGGCAAACACAGTACGGCGACAACCTGGTTTTTTGATGACGGCAAACACAGTACCGCGAAAACCTGGTGTGATGATGACTGCAAATACAGTACGGCGAAATCTGGTGTGATGATGACGGCAAACACAGTGCGGCGAAAACCTGGTGTGATGATGACGGCGAAAACCTGGTGTGATAATGACGGAAAATACAGTACGGCGAAAACCTGGTGTGGTAATCACGGAAAATAAAGTACGGCGAAAACCTGGTGTGATGATGACGGCAAATACAGTACAGCGAAAACCTGGTGTGATAATGACGGCAAATAAAGTTCGGCGAAACCTGGTGTGATGATGACGGCGAAAACCTGGGGTGATGATGACGGCAAACACAGTAGGGCGAAAACCTGGTGTGATGAGGACGGCAAACACAGTACGGCGAAAGCCTGGTGTGATGATGACGGCTAAAACAGTACGGCGAAAACCTGGTATGATAATGACGGCAAATACAGTACTGCGAAAACATGGTGTGATGATGACAGCAAACATAGGACGGCGAAAACCTGGTGGGATGATGACGGCGAAAACAGTACGGCGAAAGGTGTGATGATGACGGCGAAAACAGTACGGCGAAAACATGGTGCGATGATGACGGCAAACACAGTAGGGCGAAAACCTGGTGTGATGATCACGGAAAACAAAGTACGGCGAAAACCTGGTGTTGTAATGACAGCAAACAAAAAACGGCGAAAACCTGGTGTGATAACGACGGAAAATACAGTACGGCGAAAACATGGAGTGATGATGACGGCAAATACAGTACAGCGAAAACCTGGTGTGCTAATGACGGCAAATAAAGTTCGTCGAAACCTTGAGAGATGATGATGGCAAATACAGTACGACGAAAACCTGGTATGATAATGACGGCAAATACAGTACTGCGAAAACATGGTGTGATGATGACAGCAAACATAGGACGGCGAAAACCTGGTGGGATGATGACGGCGAAAACAGTACGGCGAAAGGTGTGATGATGACGGCGAAAACAGTACGGCGAAAACATGGTGTGACGATGACGGCAAACACAGTACGACGAAAACCTGGTATGATAATGACGGCAAATACAGTACGGCGAGAACCTGGTGTGAGGATGACGGCGAAAACCTGGAGTGATGATGACGGCAAATACAGTACGGCGAAAACCTGGTGTGATGATGACGGCGAAAACAGTACGGCGAAAACCTGGTGTGATAATGACGGCAAACACAGTACGGCGAAAACCTGGTGTGATGATGACGGCAAACACAGTACGGCGAAAACCTGGTGTGATGATGACGGCGAAAACCTGTTGTGATAATGACGGCAAACACAGTACGGCGAAAACCTGGTGTGATGATCACGGCAAACACAGTACGTGGTGTGATGATGACGGCAAACACAGTACGGCGAAAACCTGGTGTGACGATGACGGCGAATACAGTACGGTGAAAACCTGGTGTGATAATCACTGCAAATAAAGTACGGCGAAAACCTGGTGTTTTAATGACGGCAAACACAGTACGGCGAAAACCTGGTGTGATGATGACGGCAAATACAGTACGGCGAAAACCTGGTGTGATAATGAAGGCAAATACAGTACGGCGAAAACATGGTGTGGTAATTACGGCAAACACAGTACGGCGAAAACCTGGTGTGATGATGACGGCAAACACAGTACGGCGAAAACCTGGTGTGATAATGACGGCAAATACAGTACGGCGAAAACCTGGTGTGATAATGACTGCAAATACAGTACGGCGAAATCTGGTGTGATGATGACGGCAAACACAGTACGGCGAAAACCTGGTGTGATAATGACGGCAAATACAGTACGGCGAAAAACCTGGTGTGGTAATTACGGCAAACACAGTACGGCGAAAACTTGGTGTGATGATGACGGCAAATACAGTACGGCGAAAACCTGGTGTGATAATGAAGGCAAATACAGTACGGCGAAAAACCTGGTGTGATAATGACGGCAAACACAGTACGGCGAAAACCTGGGGTGATGATGACGGCAAATACAGTACGGCGAAAACCTGGGGGGGTGATGACGGCAAACACAGTACGGCGAAAACCTGGGGGGATAATGACGGCAAATACAGTACGGCGAAAACCTGGTGGGATGATGACGGCAAATACAGTACGGCGAAAACCTGGGGTGGTGATGACGGCTTACACAATATTGAGAAAACCTGGTGTGGTGTGATAATGACGGCAAACACAGTACGGCGAAAACCTGGTGTGATGATGACGGCTTACACAATATTGAGAAAACCTGGTGTGATGATGACGGCTTACACAATATTTAGAAAACCTGGTGTGATAATGACGGCAAATACAGTACGGTGCAAATTAATACATTCGGGAAAATTAAAAAGTCACAATTCCCAAAATACTGACATTTTTGAGATTTTAGCAAGGAAAGTGAATACGAAAGTTTAGCTTTGGAAAATTATGATACTTTTCTTAATCTGATATGGAAATGCAGTATACATGATGAAGCAAAATGTAATTTCGTTTAAATGTAAAGAGAATCATGAGCATAAAGAATGATTGGCGAAAGCACATTCAGTACCTGTAACACATTGTCGTTAAAACACTTGCAAACTCAGCGTTCAGGAGCTCGGGTCGAAAGTACATTGTTTCAATACAAAAAATATTATGGGCAAAACTGGTCTTGAATTTAGAGTAACCGCTGCAAGCTTAAGTGTCGAGGAAGAATACTTCTTGTTCAAGTGAATGATTCTTAAAAGCATCATAAGTGTTCAGCCTCCATGTCAATTCTGTGTATTTTTTTATTTTGTGAAAAGCTCTAACATTCATTTAAATTTAAGATGATACAAATGCCATGTAGGCCGACCATTGTTAGCTAGTGAGTGTGATGTTTTATTGCTTAGCTATGCAGAAAATAAGTTTGCCTAAACTGTGGTCTCGCGCTGTAAATTTGTAACATTTGGGCAGAAACACATCTCCTCAACAAACGTTGGTAATAAAGGATAATTTGCTTTGATGTTATAAAAGCTGTAATTTGTTTCTACAAACGGGTAGCACGGATTTCATTCTCTTCGTTCATGGACCTGAGTATCGATTTGAGAACTTTAGCATGGTAACTTTTTGAATCCCTCTTGACTGAAGTTTTGGAAGAGTCTCACCGGCTGTAATATACAATAAGTATGTATGAAAGCCACCCCTAAATCATAATATTCCACGGTCAATTACGGGGGGCTGCACTATTCATAAATATACATGAACGCGGGCTATTCAAATTAATGGTCCTGCACGTGGAATACAGATTACGTTGAGTAGCAACATATTCATATCACTGACGTCTTCGCTGTAAATCACGTTTCTATTACTCGTGGTCCGTATTTTTTATCAACCCACATAAAAAAAAATCCTGAATCGGTGATTTGAAATTATTAAAAGACTAGAATTATGGATTTTTTATTTTTATTTTTTGCCCAAGGCCCTAATGATTTTTTTAACTTTTATTTGTGATATGCATTCCTTTATGACTTTAGTTTCCGAAGTCTCCTATAATAAATCTTAATACCAGGTGCCCTATAATTCTTTCATTTTCATATTTAACCAATCAAAACTATTCCAGGCATTGTTTTCATTTACATTTGGACATCACTCTTTCTACGTTTGTTACATATTATAACATTATATTGCTGTGTTAATCAGTTACAATAATGATACCATATAATATACATGTTTTTATCATATATTTCATGTTTTATACAGATGTTCTGTATACTTGAAACGCGCAAAACTGGTGATGATAACAAACGCTTTCGAGCATTCAAATCTACCGGGCCGATATATCACAAGGGGAAAATGGCGGCGCTTTATAAATACGTCAACTTTTACGTCATATTTTCTTCGAATGACACAAGTTTACGC